TTGCTGACAATGTCTGCGATGAAGCATGGATCTAACAAATGGCCAACTACGCTTTTTTTTTCCTTTTATTTCTTTCTCATGTTCAGAGCAGCAGTTTTTGCCATTTGAAAACCCGACCTTAAGCTTCCTTACAGAGGAACAATTGATTTTCCCGTCACAGCCTGTTTAAACATTAGCTGTGAAGATGCAGGCAGGTGATACAGTCTGTAGTAATACAGGAAACCAGCGTGGTGGTTTCTGAGCATATGCCTTTACCTCTTCAAATCTGATCTGTAATTGTATTGAAGTGAACCTGATAACTTTGGCATCAGGCACTGTAGGAGCTGCCATGTTTCCCGGGCTAAATCTGTTTGCTACTGTAAAAATAAAGAAACTGAAGCAACTAATTGCATAAAAGAAGCTAAGCATGACCATGAATTGCAGAATATCCAGGCAAAATGGTGTTTCAGTAACAACTTCACTCTTCTGTCACCACAAATTAGAATAAATGTAAGAAGGCAGCTGAGCTTGGAAAGGAAACATTCTCTGGACTGGCACCCTGGTGGTGAGGCTCTCCCTAGTGCCCATGTACTAATGCAGAACTCTGTCAAGCAGAATCGCATTCCAACAGACTCTTAAGCAAGCAAGAGACTGGAAACGTAAACCTCCAACGACAAGAAGGACCTTGTTCTGGCCAGGTGCAGTGGCTCACCTGTCATCTCAGCACTTTGGGAGGCTGAGGTGGAAGGAATGTCTGAGCCCAGGAGTTCAAGACCAGCCTGGGCAACAATATCAAGGCCCTGTCTCAAAAAATAAAAAATAAAACCTTGTTGTAATACTGTAGGTATAATAATTTTAAACAGCATATAGCTATCTTTCATGTATTTATTCATTCAATCTACATGTATTTACTGAGTGCATTTTATTTGACAGGCACCCCTCATTCGACGCCCATGTCCTCTATCAATATGTCTTTCATTATCATGGCCACTGGATTTGTCTTCATGATTTTCTGTCACTTTCTATCATTGAAAGCGTCTGCTGTATGTATTCTAAGAATACCATTTTACTTGTCTTATGGCACTTCTCATCACTTGTCTATAACCTTAAATAACAAGATCATTTCTTTTTTCTTTTCTTTTTTTTTTTGAGTTGGAGTCTCACTCCATTGCCCAGGCTGGAGTGCAGTGGCACATTCACAGCCACCCCAGCGATGACCTGCTAGGCTCTGGCAATCCTTCCACCTCAGCCTTCAAAGTAGCCAGAACTACAGGCACGTGCTACCATGCCTGGCTAATTTTTGATTTATTGTAGAGACGAGGTCTTGCCAAGTTGCCCGGGATGGTCTTGAACCCGTGGACTCAGGCAATCTACTCGCCTTGGCCTCTCAAAGTGGTAGGATTACAGGCTGAGCCACCCAGCCTGGCCAAGATCGTTTCTTTTAAAGCTTCTTTCCAGGTATTTTTCTAATACAAAGGAAAGGAAACATTGATTCATATGTCATAAACCCACCCTTAGTTAACAGGAAAATAAGGCCAAGGCTCATTTCTGGAAAGCCGGCAGGAATCCGCCTTTTTTCTAATGTATGTCTAGAGAAGTAATTTCTGAATTCACAGACTTGGGGGGAATAAAGCTGAATGTAATAGCAGCTATGTTGTGACCACTCATCCTTGTTGATATGGTTATTATATCAACTCAGTTCAGACACAGTAGAAAGAGGAGTGACCTCAAACTCACAATACTCCTGCAGGAGAGAAATGACCCAATCCTGGGAAGTGAAACATCCTCTGTCTTTGCCAACTGACATATAGGAATACTGTCTGAAAGTACACAATGTGCCCACATGTTCACAGATCATTCGAATTGTTGTGTCCATCAGAAAACAGGTCTCCCCAGATACTGTCTCTTTCAGTGTGGCCAAACATTCTTCAGGTTAACTACATGATCAAAAAGCTGAGCAAGGGGAGGAAGCTTGAGAACTCAAGATGAGGAGACATTGCCAATGCACATTTATCAGGAATCAGTATAAAGCAACTCAAAAGATGGCATCTTGGTTCAGGAGAAATGATTTAATTCTGCAAGTTTAGTTTTACAAATTTAATTTTACTGTGGCACAAGTAACCTAAAGCCTAGCATAATCTTTTTGGTCTAGGTCAACATCAAATCCTCTCTTTGTATTTGTGCTATTTGAAGTTTTTATTCAGGAATGTGCATGTGATTTTGCTAACCAGTAGGCATTCTTGAGATTTTCAAACTCTAAATTCTTCTCCACAGGAAGGCAGAGCCATGAAGGGAGATAGATATTTTTAGCTACCTTAATGTTTCTTCCTCACTGGACACATTTGCCACTCTAGAATGTGCAGGTAGAGGATTTTACACAATGAGAGGTCCAGGGCAGATCCCACCCCTGGGAAGCGACTGCTAGACAGGTATGAAATGGAGGCTCTGACTGTATAAAGAAAGTGGATATGCCACAGCAGGTAGAGATGTGGAGTCATCTGGACAAGGGAAAAACAGTACGGCAGGTTTAAAGCAGTGATTCCCCCCAATTTGTTGAGTTCCCTGTTGAGACTGCCAGCAGGCATTTTATGTACCACCTGCCTTCCATCTTCACAGTTCTCTACTGGGCACTAATTCTGAACTCTCAGACATCAAATAATCAAGACCCAGATGGTGGCAACCCAGGTCATATGCCTGACTGGTATGGGGATAGATTCTTCCTGATATGCAGGAGGGAGATGCTTTCTAATCTGGGCAGTAGGTCGAATTTGTAGAATAGCTAACTGGCCTTGTTTTGAACAATTTCATTTGAGACTGATAAAAATATTTTCTTATGGAAGGAATTCCCTCCCACTTGGGTCTTCTTTCTTTCTCAAGCAGTTTGGCTATTAGGATAGAAGTAACTTCATATTTTAAAATTTCTTCTTTTTGACTACATTTGACAAATCTGTTTGTTTGTTTTTCTTTCTTTATAAAAGCCTGTTTGAGCTTTCTTTGACCTCATTCATTGGTCCTGATAAAACTAATGTTCTCCCTTGGTCCTGACCTTGAAGGAAGTCAAAATATTACTCTAAAAAATACTTAGGGGTGTTGACCCAAACAAAGGTTAAAAAGATGGGGCACATACTGCCCCTCCATTCTGCCTTTCCCACCTAAAGATAGGCCCCTTTACACTCGCTTATCAGTTCGGAAACAAGATCAGAGACTTTGAGTGGCACCAGGGGATCTTGGAGCAGACTTGACTCTTCCCTTCGATTTACCTCTCCGCATCTTCCTGCTTAATCAGCCTGAAGCTGCTCTCTTCTTTGTCTTGTCACCATATAGGATTTATGGCTCTTTGGCAAAATACTACTGAAGTAAGGTCCCTAAGCCACTGCCTTGAAAGAGAAATACTGTTTGTTTTCTTTTGTTAATCTGACTTTTGCTTTCAAGAGAGTATCTCAACTAAGAACTTAAAAAGGGAAATGGCCAGGCTCAGTGGCTTATGCCTGTAATTCCAGCACTTTGAGAGACTGAAGCAGGAGGATCATTTGAGTCCAGGAGTTCAAGACCAGCCAAAGCAACACAGCAAGATCTTGTCTCCACAAAAAATTTAAAAATTACCTGGACATCGTGGTGTGTACCTGTAGTCCCAGCCATTAGGGAGGCTAAGGTGGGAGAATCGCTTGAGCCCAAGAGGTGGAGGCAGCAGAGAGCCATAATCATGCCACTGCACTCCAGCCTGGGCAGCAGAGTAAGATCTTGACTATAAATAAATAAATAAGTAAATGAGAAAATAAAGAGATTATATGTTTTCTCTTTATAATCTACTTATACAGGATGCAATGAATTCATGGTGTCTTTGGTCTTTATGGTACACATACAATCTTTTAAATTTAAAATGGTTTAACCTTTTAAAAAAAGTATCTTCTGAAGGTCTCTTTAGAGTTATTTATTCCAGAACTGTCTAGAGGTAGGGGAAAGGTCTAAAACAGGGGTCCCCAATCCCTGGGCCACAGACCAGTCCACGGTCTGTTAGGAACTGGGTTGCAGAGCAGGAGGTGACAGTGCACAAGCGGAGCTCTGCCTCAGGTCAGATCAGCAGCAGCGTTAGACTCTCATGGGAGCACGAACACTATTGTGAACTGTGCATGTGAGGGTTCTAGGTTGCACGAGAATTTGATTCATGAGAATCGAATGCCTGATGATCCCCAGCCTCTTGTGGAAAAACTGTCTTCCTTGAAACTGGTCTTTGATGCCAAAATTTGGGACCGCTGATCTAAAAGACCCCTTATGACCCAGTTCAGTACTTGGGTTCTCTAATTGCAAGCAGTGGCTTTTGTAACTTTCTTTTTCTTTTTATATGTATACATCTACAGAGATGGGATCTTTCCATGTTGCCTAGGCTGGTCTCCAACTCCTGGGCTCAAGCAATCCTCCAGCTTTGGCCTCCACAAGTGTGAGGATTATAGGCGTGAGCCACTGTGCCCAACCAACTTTCTTGACTAAATCAAATGTGCTCATTTTAGCACAGCGAACAGTTTAACAGATAATCACACCTACTATTAAGAGATGATTCTGAAAATGATGACTTTCATTCATCCATCCATTCATTCATCAAACATTTACTAAAGAAATAAAAAAAGCTGGGCTCTAAGAACTCAGCATACAATGATAAGTTAGACACAGCCTGTGCCCTTCCAGAGGAGACAAAAAAGTAAACAAATTGCCATCAGTGTGAAAGGTACAATAATCAGATACAACAGTGGGCCCCAGAAGGAACGTGATAAACTCTGTCTGAGGAATCAGAAGAGACTTGACTGAGCCTTCCCAAAAGAACTGCTTCCTGTTGTTCCTTGATTTTTATGGTATCCAATTGATAAATGCGCAATAGAGGAGAATCATTCTTTATACCAATCTCTCGAGTACCAAAATATAACACCACGTTCTGGAAAGTCAGATGACTTGTAATCATCCTCCAGTCAGATCACTTGCTGTAACTAGACAGGAAGAGCTGTTTATTGCAAGCGCGCATTTTGTACCTTTGCTGAAGAATGGATGTGATCTGCTTGCAGAAATTCTCTCCATTTTGAGAAAACTCCTTTAGGTTCTTGTATACTTTATTATACTGAAAAAAAAAAACAATAACAACCGTGAGCAAGAAGATTATGAGCAATTCCAAAGACAGAGCACCTATAAATTCAGAATGCCGCTGTAATGATGACTGTCACTGTAAATGATCGTGCTGCTCCAGGGATGCACACCTTTCAGATGAGTTCTTAAAGTAAAGATGAAGGCTCTCCTGCCTGGCTATGAAAGATCCTGGAGAACTTTTCAGAAATGAAGCTGATCTATCTGTTTCTCCCCTAAGCCAAATGCAAACAATTCAGCAGTGGGGTACATTTTGGAATCTGGCTTCCTATCATCCCTGTTGTTCCCAGGAAGTACAAAAGTATATCCTAAAAGACACCACATAACCATTTTGTGCCCCATCCCACACACACTCCAAAATAATATCCTTGGGGTTCATGACAAGCCATGAACCACTAAAATAAGCATTTCTTGGCTGAGATATGAAAGTGTAAGTCAGTACCTTGTTAATAGAACTGTGTCCATTATTTCTCATTGAATCCTAGTAATAAAACTGTCATAATAGGTTGGGCATGGTGACTCATGCCTATAATTCCAGCACGTTGGAAGGTCAAGGCAGGAGGATTACTTGAGCCCAGGAGTTCAAGAACAACATGGGCAACATAGCGAGACCTTGTTTCTACAAAAAATCAAAAAAATTAGCTCGGCATGGTGGTGCACACTTGCAGTCCCAGCTACTCGAGAGGCTTAGGAGGAAGGATCACCTGAGCCCAGACAGTCAAGGTAACAGAAAGCCATGATCACGCCACTCTACTCCAGACTTGATGACATAATGAGGCCCCGACTCAAAAAAGAAAAAAAAAGTCATAATAATGAGTTGAACATTTTGACTAAATGAAACCTTTATAAATTTACAAGTACATTTTTTGCAATCTATTTATATGAGTTTAGCCTGCAAACACAAGAATTTCAAGTAAAATCTTTCATCTTTGATTTAGCATTCCACAATGTTATTCTCAAAGTTATATCTGTAAATGAAGACATAGATGACAACAGATTTTAAGTGTCCAAACAGAGAAGGTAAATGTCAGTTGATTCTGCAGCTTTTTCTGACACAGAGCAAGTGAGTCCCACAATGAAACATCCCAAACACTCCCATAGAGTTTCCAGTTGGGAGGTGTGACAGCAGACTGCATTTTCCAAAATGAGATTTTACATAAGAGGACCCCAAATCTGCATTGATTCAGCACCCTCCTGTGGCTCTTTTCCTATACAATGACCAGCCTCTTCCAGTGTCTAAATGTCGCTGGCATTTACTTGAGCACCATATTGAGAAGGAGAAATGGAAGGAAATTTGCATTTACCAAGGACATCTGGCCACAGAGAAAGAAGGACCTAAAGAAATGACTTGCTCCAGGACCCTGCCTCTGGGGATGAAGTGAACCAATATCTAGGATACAGGAGCAGTCTAAGAAATACCATCTGCTTTAATCTGTATGCAGTAGTTTAACTTTCTTGTGAAATTAACACAGAAAATTATGATAGATAGGACTTGGCAGACATACAATAGTAGCAAATAGCTTCATTGAAACTGCCCGGGACACGTGAGTGGTGCGGGTGCAAAACTTATTTTTGGTCAGAGTCTCACTCTGATGTCCAGGAGTGCAGTGGCACAATCACAGCTCATCTGCAGCGTTAACTGGTCTCAGGCAATTCTTCCGCCTCAGCCTCCAGAGTAGCTGGGACTACAGGAGCACACTACCACACCTGGTTATTTCCCTCCCCTCCCCTACCCTTAGGTACATAACCAAGTGATTAAATCCCCTCCCCTCCCTTCCCCTTCTCCCCCCTCCCCTCTCCCTTCCCTTCCCTTCCTTTCCCTGAAGAGACAAGGAAGCCCTGTTTCTCAGCTGGTCTCAAACTCCTGGGTTCAGTCAATCCTCTTGCCTCAGCCTCCCAGAGTACTGGGCTTATATGCATGAGCCACCACGCCCAGCCAAATTTATTCATTTCTAAAGCAGAGTTTGCAAAATCGTGTGTTTGTAGGCACCAGCTGGGCACCCAAATGAGCAAGAAGCAGGGTGGTGGCCCTGAGCTGGAGAAGCAACTGCCAGAACCAATCCAGCCCATTGCTGCCACATGGGAATGTGGCCCAGGATAGCCAGGTCACCCAGTGTGTCCAAAAGAAGTTGAAATCAGAATATGTATCTGAAATATGATATCTTTAAAACCGTGGCAAACCATTCACAAATATTAACTCTGTGCAGTGCAAGCATAACACAGTTCTAGTGGGGTTCCTATCTGTAGCTTCTGTCATGAAGAATAATTATCCTTTGAGAATCATAAGAGTAGAACCACTTTTTAACAACAAAGCTATCTAATTTTTATTTCCAGTAAAACTCATTAGTCATCTCTGAGTGATTTAAGCCATCCTTCCTCCCCTTACAGATTTACCGGGAAGCTGGGAGAGCCCTTTGAAATGGTGATAAGTCCTGCTGTAAAGAAACTTGTTTAGCTCCTTTGTTTACTTTTATGTTACCGAAAAATGTTCACTACATTACTCCCTAAGCCTTTTATTTTCTTTTATAACACCTAATAGCATCTCACAAAACACACCTAGGTGTCATGAGAAGAAAATGCATAAATGTTTAGGCAGGTATCCTTAGGTACAGGTACACTTAGGTACATAACCATGTGATTAAATACTATCCAAGGAGATGCAGATGAAAGTTTTCCCTGAGGTTTCAGTGAAGGCTTTGGCTTCTTCTTTTCTGTCTTCTGGATTTGGCAATGATGGCCGATGTCATGAAGTGGTCCTGAGATTGGATACTGTCCTGTGCTAAGTTCACAGAGCAGAAAGAGAAGAGGCTGCGTCCCTAATGGCTGTGAAAGAGCACACAAGCCCTCAACTCTCTACTTTTGGACTTATTTTATGTGTGAGAGAAGTGCAACAATGTTTTCTAAACACAGCTATTTTTAGATTTTTCTAATAGGCAGCTGAACATAGTTCTAACTCATACATAGTCTTTTAACTTTTTGCTTTAAGTTATGAAACATTTTTATGTTTCATAAAATAATGAATGATACCAAAAGTAATAACGACATACATTTTGTTTTGTTTTTTACTTTTAATTTTTTTATTTTAAAGATGTGGGGTACAATTCAGGGTTAGGTATACAAATATTCATTACACAGATACCCTTGTTGATGAGGTGTGCCTACCTTTCCCAGGCAGATTCCCACTACTGCCAATCCCGCATTCCTCCACTCTTGGCAGTTTCTCACTACTGCCATTCTTCTTATAGTATTACGATAATTGTTCAAGTGAGAACACGTGATACTCAGTTCGTTGTTTCTGTGATAGATCACTCAGTATTAAGACTCTTAAGTTCATCCAGGTGGTTGTGAAGTTCATGATTTTGTCCGTTTTTATGACTGCGTAATATTCCATCGTGTGTATGTACCACATTTTTTTTATCCAGTCCTCTTTCGATGGGCACAGTTGGTTCCATGTTCTTGCTATTGTGAACAACGCTGCAATAAACATACATGTGCAGGTATCTTTTTCATAGAGTGATTTGAGTTCCTCTGGGTATATTCCTAGTATGGGGATTGCAGGGTCATATGGAAGGTCGATTTTTAGATCTTTTAGGAATCGCCACACTGTTTTCTACAGAGGCTGTACTAATTTACACTCCCACCAACAGTGTAGAAGTGTTCCTTTTTGCCACATCCTTTTGCCAGCATCTGTTATTTTTTTAGTTATTGATGATGGCCATCCTGACTAGAGTTAGGTGGTATCTCAGTGTGGTTTAATTTGCATTTCTTTGATGACTAGTGAGACTGAACATTTTTTCATGTATCTGTTCTGCTCGTATGTCTTCTTTTGAAGAGTGTCTATTCATATCTTTTGCCCACTTTGTAATGGAACTGTTTGTCTTTTTCTTTTCGGCACATTTGAATTCCTCGTAGATCCTAAATATTAGGCCTTTCTCAGACATACAGTGGGCAAATACTTTTCCCCAGTCTGTGGGCACGACACACATTTTGTACTAAGTTATACAGATATATACACTTTGCTTCTGCTTTCTCCTCAGATAACAATTGTCTTCCTTTTTATAATTTCTTTAGCTATTCTGGGGCATTTATTCTTTCATATGAACATTTATCTAATTACATTTTTTAAAAGTCTCTGTTGGGATCCTAATTGGAATTGTATTACATATGTAGATCAATTTGGGAAAATTGGCTTTTTAATGGTGTTTAGACTTCCCATCCAAGGACATAGTAAACTTTTCATTTGCTGAAATTTTATTTTATGTTCAATAAACTTTTATGATTTTCTTCATAGGCCCTGTGGTTTTCTTATTTGATTTATTGAGAAATATCCCACAATATTAAGCTGTATATTTTTAAGTATTGTCTTATCTGCTTCTCTCCTCAGCCCACAACAAAGCAGAAATAAAGATTCAATAAAGAAACAATGAGGCCATGTGCCCAAGAGACAAGTATTTGGATGCATGTTTGTAGATTTAAGTTTTCTGCTCTCAGATACTATGTAAGGCTGGGGTGGGAATAGAAGAAGACAAAGCAGAGGGATGGATTGGAGAGACTTGGAGCCTTCAGAGTGGGATAAAAAAAAATACCCTCCTATCAGGAGAACTAGGAGTGGAAGGGAGCTAAATGTCCCAAGGGAAGGGGCCACCAGTCCACCACCACCAAAGGACAGTCTGTACATAACAATTCTCTATAGAGGAGAATAAGGGACGCTGGACACCAACTGCAAGGAGGAAAAACCCTGCTCACAACCAAAGTAGAAAGAAGTAGAACCAGCTGAGGATTTTTCTACGTGCTGGGGCTACAGGAGTCGCTGCATTTCCCAAACTTGTTGAGCCCACAAAACTCCCTAAGGTATTTTTTTTTTTTTTTTTTTTTTTTTAGTCAGGGTCTCACTCTGTCACCCAAGATAGAATGTAACGGCACAATCATGGCTCACTGTAGCCCTCAAACTCCTGGGCTCAGGTGATCCTCCCACCA